TACCATGTAATAGCTAGTGCTGGTGGCACTGTGTGTTAGGCATTGGACTGATAACTACAAGATGGGTGGTTCCAACCCACCAGCCACTCCATGGGAGAAAGATGAGGCTGTCTGCTCTAATCAAGATGTACAGCCTCAGCTATACAGGGTGCCTATCCGTCAGAATGGACCCAATCGCACTGCGTTTGGTGAGATAACAAAGATTCCATTTGCAAAGCAGAATTCTGGCACACAATTACAGAGTGAAGCTCGAGCAAGTTGTGAGGATGCCAGGATCCTGGGTAAAACCAAGGGCAATCTCTATCAGCTAGTTTGCTCCATCTATTCAAATTCAAAGTGACTGGAAAAATAACCCTGGGAGCCTGGGTGGGGTAATGGCTATGCATTGGGCTAAGATTCCCGACACTGGTGGCTCTGCAGGAGAAAGAGAGGGCTTTTTACTCCCGTAAAGAGAGACACGCTCAGAAACTCACAGTGGCAGTTCTGCCCCGTGCTATAGGGTCACTGTGAGTCAAAATCGACTCATCGGCAAGGAATCTGGAATTTGGCTTGGGAGAGGTAGCCGTGTGACAACCAGGCTTTTAGTGGCTTGTTCCTGTGCCTGGGAGCTCCTTCTTTGTTTCCCTCAAGTTCCTGCTTCCTCCCCATCACCACTCCCTCTGAACAAAAATGCCCTTCGTTCGCTTTCTCACCCAACAAATATTTAATCTGTGTCTTCCCATCTTTAAAACAAAACATTGTCCTCAAGTTGATTCCAACTACTGGAAGTTCTCTGTAGGGTTTCTTGGCTGTAATCTTAATGAAATCCTGTTGGATGGCTCCAAACTGCCAACGTTGCTATTAGTGGTCTGGTGCTTTTCAGTTAGGAGCCGTGATGGAATCATGTTTACGTGTTGGACTGCTAACCACAGGCCAGCTGTTTGAAACCACCAGCCACGCTGAGGGAGAAAGATGGGGCTTTTCACACATATAGAGCACTACAGTCTCAGAAACTCACAGGGCCAGGTATTCCCTGCCCTGCAGGGTCTGTCTGAGTCGGCATCAACTCGATGGCAGGGAATTTGATTTGGTTTGGTTTTATATGCTATATAGTTTCATGTTGCCCAGTCAACTTCCTTTGGCATTCTACCCAACAAGCAAGGTAAGCAAACGCTTCCCTGTGCTTACTTACTCATCTGTAATGCATAATTTCACATAGGCTCAAAGATGGGACAAATCATGTGAGATTGCTCACTACAGATGAGTAAGTAAGCCCGTGGAGCGCTGGTGGCGTAGTGGGTTCTGTGTGGGTGTGCTAATCACAGAGTCCGCAGTTCTAGAACCATGAGCTGCTCTGGGAAAGAAAGACGAGGCTTTCTGCTCCTCGAAAGATGGACAGCCTCAGAAACCAACAGGAGCAGTCTTTTTTCTCACAGGGTCACTCTGAAACAGAATAGATTCAATGGCAGTGACTTCGGGTTTTGATTTCCATGCTCCCCGGGTACTCCATCCCTGTCAGGGATTGTACAGTTGGAGAGAGGCTTTGATTCCGGAGGAAGGTGATGTGTGGTTAGAAGAGAGACAGATGTCAGCCAGACCTTGAAACGGAATCTTTGAGGTGGGGCCGGGGCGGGTGTGTGCGTGTGAACGTGTTTCCTACCAGCTAAGAAATAAGTACACGGAAGTCTATGCTTCCTTTATCATTGGGTCACCCGCCCTGCCCATTGGGCTGCTCCGTAGAAGTCAGAATGGAGTCAAAGCAGTGGGTTGTCTGATGCCTGAAACCAGTTCCTGAAAGCTGCCTTTGCGCAGCTCTGCTCAAGGCAAACCCAGAGAGCCCGGGCAGCACAGCCCCACCAGGCCCATGGCTCCATCTGCACGTTGAAAACAAGCTTCCCATTAACACACAGAAGTGACACACTCAGTCACTTCCCAGGTTTGATTAGCACTGTACTTAAAGAGCAAATCATCAAAATGTCATGCTCGAGAAGCCCTTGACCTTTCCCACCCCTATACTCTTTTTCAAAACTCACCTCTTACTGAATCCCCAGGGGGAAATTGGGCCAACTGGGTTTGTGTGTATGCTGTTCAGATACATAGTAGAACCCCATCTTCACAGATGGTTAAACCACAGATGGCTCAAAGTGTTGCCTCCCAAGCAGAACCATTCTACATAATTTCAATTCCGCAAACTTTTAGCGAGCTTCTCCTATTGCTCTATTCTCTAGAGCAGTGGTTCTCAATCTGTGGGTCATGACCCCTTTAGGGGTTGGACAACCCTTTCACCGGGGTTGCCCGATTCATAACAGTAGCAAAATGACAGTGATGAAGTAGCAACAAAAATAATTTTATGGTTGGGGGGTCACCACAACTTGAAGAACTGTATTAAAGGGTCACGGCTTTAGGAAGGTTGAGAACTACTGGGTCTAGACACATTTGCAAACCAATGTTTCTTGCCAACTCTCCACTAGTGTGAGCTCTCCCCAGAAGGATCTATGCTGGCCTCTATCACACTAATTGCTGACCTGCTGTCCAGATTCTGTTGAGGTCAGAAACCCCTATAAGAGGGGAACATGGTCCAGGGATCTTAAAACAGAAGCTTCTCCGTCGATAGCCTCTGAGAGAGAAAATACACCAGGTCTCCAGAAACTGAGGGGCAGGCAATTTGGGCTCTGGTGGGGCAGTAGTTGGCTGCTAACCGAAGGTTGGCAGTTTGAACCTACCAGTTACTCCTTTGGAGAAAATGTGGCAGCCTGGGAAACTTTATGGGACAGGTCTAATCTCTCCTACAGTTTCTCTACAAGTCAACATTGATTTGATGGCAAAGGGTTTGATTTACAGGGTATCCCTGCAGTAAATAGTGGTGCAAAGGATTTTCACTCCACTACAAACCTAACAATTGGTGGTTCAAATCCACCTAGTGGTGCTGTGGCAGTCATGCCTGGTGGTCTATTCATGGAAAGAGAACAGCCCATAACACCCTCTGGAGCACAGTTCTACTTTGTAACACAGAATTGCGAGGAGTTGGGAGACAGGTCAGTGGCAGTAGATTTGGTTTGGGGTGGGAGGGAAGGGGTCCCATTGCATACTTTGTAACCCAGCCCCAGGGATTCCATTTCAAGTCATATTTTCTTCTTCTTTTTCAGACAATAAAGTCTACTACTCCCCAAATCACGCATTGGCCAGTACCAGCCTTGAAAATGAACGTAAGTATCCGGTTTCTGCCTTTGACAGAGATTCTCTGTAACCTGAGAAAGAAACGTTAAGTGTAAAAAAAAAAAAACCAAAAAAACACCAGTGTCCCTAGCAGCTGAAAGGATCTTTTCGTTTGGTGTATCATTTAGCTATTTTTTACTTAGAATTTTGTTCCATCTTAGTCTCAAAGAACCCGTGCAATTCATGCCCTTAGAAAATCCCTTACAAATATTCTTGTTTTGCTGCAGAAGCAACTCAACAGAGTTGTTTTACTTGAGCCTGGTGACCCAAGGTAACCAAGGTGACTCGGGAAGTGCACAGATTCATGGGGATTAGCTTCATCTGTCCTAGATGCTCAGTCTCTTGCCTGGGAGATAGGGCCAGACAAGGACACTGCAGGGCAGGAAAATGCAGGACTGGGCCCCGATTGCAAGTGTTGTCAGTAGAATGTTCCAATAAAGACAAGCTGGAGGGGATGCCATGAGAAGCTTTGTGGCCTGGGTTTGAATACTGGCTTCCTACCTTGTTCCAGAATTTCAATCAAGTTTCTTGACTTCTCTCTGCCTCCATTTCCTCATTTGTAAAGTGAGCCTAAAAATGGTGTCCACTTTATACAGCGTTTCTTTGAAGATTAAATAGTGTCCACTTTACAGTTTCTGTGAAGATTAAATGAGCTAATAGATGTAAATGCATAGAGTGATGCCCGGCAGCCATGAAGTCATGCCAAAGTGCCAGCCGGCTTGGAAAGCGTGCTGCACGCTCCTGGAGTTGTTGGGTGGTGCGACCGGTTAACGTGCTCAACTGCTAACCGCAAGCTCGCTGATCTACTTCTGAGACACTCAGCCACTGGCAGCTCTGCAGGACACAATTCTATTCTGATACTCCTGGGGTCACCCTGAGTTGGGGTCAACTCAGCAACAACTGGTTCGCCCGTGTGCCATGTGGTGTTCCATGTTATGCACTGGAGAAAAGAAAAGAGAGAAGCGCCATCACCCGCAGCAGCAACTGATCCCAGACCTTTTCAAATTGGGTGCACAGTGGGGAGAGGGGGCCAAATCGAGCCCCTCTCCAATGTCTGCGAGGAGCCCTTGTGGCAGTGACTTGAGCTTGGGTTTTGACATTGTCAACTTCATGAGCAATAGTCCCAGCACCCACAGGAGTGTCTGCATGGAAGTCAGTACATAATTGCTGAAGGAATGAATGAGGAACTGGTAAAGAAATACTGCCGATATAGTAAAAATCATTTTATTTGAGGCCCTCGTGTAAAGTAAACAAACCAACAAAGGCAGAAACCGCCCTTGGGGAACTTATTGGTTGTGTCCAAGTGGAGAGATCCATGCAGTACTGGTTCCAAAGCCAGTACATGGCAGGCTCTGGCTTTCACATTAGCTCCTGTCCAAGGGGATGAGACCCTCAGGCCTTTCAGTTGATGAATTAAAATGTTTCCCAAGTACTTGCTAATAGTTTAGAAGTATTTAAATGATAAGCTTCATGTTTTCAGATACATTCCCATTTCATATTGTTCATCGACTCTACCAACCTAACATCATCCTGCTCAGTCCTCTAAAGGACTGGGCAATCCGTGGATGTTCTAGGTTCCTTACACAATGGGTATCCACTAAATCGTGACTGTCCTTGTCATCTGGTCGACCCTGCTATCACAGAAACACTCTACGTGGGTGGCTTTACTAAGCAGAAATGTCTTCTCTCATTGTATAAGAGATTAGAAGTCTACTTCAGAGCCCAACTCCGGAGGACGGCTTGCTCTCCATCAGTTCTGGGGAATTATCTTAGTCTCTTTAGTTTTCATGTGTTTTCACATCTATCTGACTTATCTCTCCTCTACTTGATTGTCTAATCTCTTCCATAGCTCAAAACAAAAGGACTTAAAGCATAACGTACTGCCTCATTAACATAACAAATAAAATCCATTTCCAAGTGGGTGCAGTGGTTAAATTCTTGGCTACTAACTGAGAGATTGAGGGTTCAAACCCACCAGCCACTCTAAGGGAGAAATGGGTGGCAGTTGGCTTCCCTAAAGATTCCCAAACCAAACAAAAATCACTGTCTTCAAATCAATTCCAACACACTGAGACAGACAGAGCAGAGGGGAAGCTTCTCTAAAAAGTTTCCAAGGCTTCAAAATTTTACAGAAACAGTCACATTTTTTCCTCCCATTGAATGGTTGATGTATTCAAACCACTGGCCTTTCAGCTCACAACGAAACAATTTAACCACCAAGTCTCCCTGCTGATAAAGATTACAACTGAGAAGACTCCATGGGGCAGTTGTCTGATAGGGTCATTAAAAGTCAGAATTACTCCACCGCAATGGGTTTGTTGATTTTAAAAAACTAACTACAATATAGGAGCTCCTTTTGTCATAATGTCACAGATAAAAAAAAATCACCTCTACTGCTTATGGAGACACTCCTTCATTAACAAAGTAATCCCTAGTACAAACTAACAAAATAGCTGCCATCCGGTTGTTTCTGAATGCAGATAAACCTCCTGTATGTGAGAGTTGAACAATGCTTCAAAGAGTTTTCAAGGGCTCATTGTTTTGTTCAGAAGTAGATCTGCAGGCCTTTCTTTTGAGATGCCTCTGGGTGCCTTCAAACATTCAAATTTTCGTTAGCTGCTGAATGAGCTAACCATCGGCACCACCCAGGTTCTCCAACAAAATAATACGGAATACTTATTGAGCATGTAAATGCAAGCCACCATTCTAAGGAAGATGGGGCTCAAAGAAGCTAGATAACTTGACCAAGGTCACATAGCTTGGGGGTGGGAAGATCCGGATTCAGGGGCTTATCTGATCCCAGAACCAGCTTCCTATTCATCAATGTTTATTCTATCTTTCAGGGAGCCAGCCTCCAGAGAAAAGACAAGACAAATACTTTTATTAAACTATTGTTTGAAGAGGAGAATGCTTTTTTTGCAATCCTACTCCTGATTTTCCACTTACTACTAAAGAGCATTAAGTTCTGGCCAAGTTTATGCTTTCCCTAAAGTTATACCCATATTCTTTCTTGACACTTTAGACACGATGGCAGGGTTTTCACGTTTGTTTACCAGCACTTAAAATTGTGAGATGAGAGATGCAGGTCTCACCTGCACCCCTTCTACCCTACTATTTAGTTCCCTTATCACCAGCCAGGGTCCTTCAAACTAAGGCCGACCATGTACTTTCCTATGGAGTTGGCTCACTTTTCAAATGATCAGCGAGATTAGGAAAAGCCTGAAGCTTTTCAATGTTTGCAACCTGAACTGTCCTGCCTCATTTTAACAGCTAAATGAAAATTCATGGGACAAGGACTCTGACACCCTATAGGGATGCAGGTCGCCCTTGGCGACACCTTGTAGCTTTCCAGGGGACCCACTTGCCTTCCTTAAACAATCAAACTTCTCCTTTCGCTTTTACCCTGTTAGTGCCATCCTAGACGAGTCTTTTTTCTTTTCAGCTCAGAGCCCCTGGAGCCACCCCCGTGAATACTAGCAGCGCATTGAGTTGAGCGGGATGAGAAAGGCAAGGCGAGCTGGACTTTTATGATAAACGGTCCCAGATACAGTGGCAACTTACCCAAACTCATGTATCTCCTCAATCTGGCAGATAGCTTTGTCTCATGTGTAAGGCTGCTTGTTGACCCACGGGAACCTCAGGACCCCCTACTGATAGTGTCAGGTTCCGCCCGCCCCCACCCCCCACGCGCCCATATCGCAATTGCTCCTATGTAACAGCTGAGTGTGATGACTAATAAAACGCTATTTTTCAAAATCACATTATTCTGGATTCTCAATTCTTTCAAAGCCGTCATCTGAAATCCCATAGCAATTGGCGATTATCTTCATTTACCATATATGGCTATGAAACCTCACAAGGAGTTATGACCTGCCCAAGAACACACATAATAGCGTTAGGTAGTTGGAACAGGGGCTAGGTTGTCCACTGCGCATGCTCAGAAATTCAAGCTCTTGGCCAGGAAGGAGTGGTACACGTAGGTGGGCGCTACACCTGGATTAGTCCATCCAGGCCAGGTGAATTTAATTCAACCAATGGAGTCAACCAGTATCGTCGACCACGCCTCCCAGCAGAAGGCTTGAAAAACCAGGACCTGAAGCCCACCGTACTTCCTTTTTGTCTCTCAAGCTGCTTCTCGGCATGCTGTGCTGTGATCTCTGTCCTCAGGACTCCACGTGCGGGTGTGAAGTGCCCTAAGGGTACCTGTGTAACACCTGACATTTCTTCTATGGTTTATAAAACTCACTTGGATCACAATCCAGGCTTCGCAGGAAGCCAGGGACAAAGGTATTCCTCACATGAGAGATCTAACAGTGTTAGCAGAACTCATCAGAAACCATAAAAAAAAATCACTGCTTTTGAGTCAATTCGGACCCACAGCGACCCTATCAGAATAGAATGGCCCCTGTGGATTTCTGAAGCTGTAACTGTTTAGTGGAGTAGAAAGCCTAGTCTTTCTCCCTTGGAGCGTGTGTTAGTCCGGGTAGACTAGAGAAATAAATTCATGGACATTCATATGTGTATAAGAAAGAGCTTTATATACAAGAGCAATCTAATATTGAGAAAACATACCAGCCCAGTCCAGATCAAGTCCATAAGTCTGATAGTAGCCCATATGTCCGATACTAATCTCTAAATTCCTCTTCAGCCTCACGAAACACATGCAATGATGTGGAATGCAGGAAACTCACAGGCCAGTGGATAGAAAGTCTTGTGGATCCAGTGGTGTTAGAGGTGTCTCCGCGCTGGCAAGGATCTCTCCATATGGCTCCTTCAGTTCCAGGGCTCTAGTATTGCTCCATGTGTCCTGTCAGCCAGCATGTCTCCCAGGCAGTGAGCGTGTGTCTCCCCTCCAGCGAGCTATTTATCTCCTTGGCGCCTCCAAATGAGGTCATCAATCTGCCACCTGATTGACAGGCTAAACTCCAACCCTTCACACTTAATTCTCAAATTGACAACAGATTATGTAACTTCCACAGAGCGTCTGGTCATTTTGAACTACTGACCTTGTGGTTAGCAGCCCAACTCTTACCCACTATACCACCAGGACTCAAGTCCAGTATTGTAACTCAGTGCTCCTTTCTTCTCACCAAAATACTTATCAAAGGTTAATATCAGTGTTGTTTTTAGGTGAGTTCCGGGATGGGAAAATGCTTTACACTTGATTTGCACCTGAAGGTTGACAATTCAAACCTACCCAGAGGTACTGTTGAAGAAAAATCATGTGATCTGCTTCCACAAAGATTACAACCAAGAAAACCCTATGGAACAGTACTACTTCAGAACACTGGGGTCACCATGGGTTGGAATTGACTTGACAACAAGGTGTTCAGTGTTTTAGTTGGATATTTGGGTATTTTCCCTCCTATCTTAGGTAAAGAAAGACCCCAGCACTTTTAGGAAAGAATTGCTGAACTTGGCAGTCATTCTCCTCGCTCAAGACTAGTTTTTCCAGGGTATTATACATGTTTCTTAGATTTAACAAGAGGAAGAAGAAGAAGAAAACTCAGCCATTATAGCATCTCTTAAAATTATTGATCTTACAGTCATGTTCTGGAAGAGGAGGGTAAATCACTAACTAGGGAGTAGACACATATTAACTTGGGTGAAGGGAATAACAATATACAATAATGGGGAGGTCAGCCTGAAATGATCCATGAAGACACTGGAAGGTGCATAAAAGTAAAGGATAACAAAGTTAAAAACTAATGCATCCACAATCCTATAATAATTGTAACAACAAGCTATATATGAGATGAGTCGTGTGTTAGTCTGGGTACTTTAGAGGAACAAATCCAAAGAAACATGTATAGGAGAGAGCTTTATATAAAGGTTAAGTG